CACTTTTACTGCAAGTAGAGAACACATGACCACAATATACGGGCCCTTTCACCTAGGTTTCAAATTCTCCCATTTCCAGTGTTTTACCCAAACTCTGTCTCCCACCTGAATATTATGACTAGAAGTCGTCAGAAATGGTGGGGTAAGAGAAACACAGTATTTCTGGATTCCTTGTATTTGCTTATTTAATTCTCCCACCATTTGATTCACCCATGAGATCCCCAGCTGTCCTAGGTCCCCTATGTGATTTTTCAAGTTAGGGCTTGTGACCAGTGGCCTTCCAAACATCATTTCAAAAGGAGATAACTTAAGTCTGTTGCGTGGAGTACATCTCACAGACCAGAGTGCCAAGGGTAAGGCATCCACCCATTTAAGGTGGGTTTCAAGGCACACCTTGGTTATCTTTTCCTTAACAGTGCGGTTCGCACGTTCACCACTTTGGGGGTACAGGGAACAATGAAGTTTCCATTGGATCCCTAAGGATTTTGCTAGCCTTTGAATTACTTGGTGCCCCCTTCTCCAAAATGGCCGTGCTTAGCCTTTAGGAGGCTTTCAGAGTGCTCCTGATGGCTAGGGAGGGCAGAAATGAGTGAAAACGGGCTATTTGTTTGCTCAATTTTTGCCCCCCAGCCCCTAGCAGCACACAGTGAACCTCCTAAAGGCTATTCATGCACCTTTTTTTTGAAAAATATGGACCCATTTTTGTGAAAAATGGGACATTTTTTGCTTGTTTGTGACGCCCCCTGGCCCTCAACAGCACTCTACAAGCCTCCTAAAGGCTATTCATGCCCTTTTTTTTGGAAAACCAAACGGGCCCATTTTCATGAAAAACGGGGCGTTTTTGGGTGCAAAAACTTTTTTTTTAATTTGCTCCTTCAAAATATTGCTGCGTCTTATACTCTGAAAATTATGGTAGTTCTCGAGTTACAATACTTCATTTAGGGACCAAAGTTACAACGGGACTGAAAGCTCACTTCACAAATGTCTCACTTAACAACAGAAATTTTGGGTCCAGTTGTGGTCGCAAGTTGAGGACATAAAGACAAAACTCAAACCAAGCGCTAAAAGCTTGGCCATTTTTTTCTCCCTTTCTTAACGAAGGAAAGCCAGCAGGATGCTTTAAACATTCAGGAATTTTACAAGATCTTTCATAATGGCCTGGAATTCCAGTTGCTCGGGGAAACCGCTCGGTGGTTCTAGAATCCAAACAATCCGTGTGCTTGGCTTGAGCTGGATGCTGGCAAGCTGCTCTTCCTGAATGCTCAACCTTCCCCCCCCCCCAAATGCATTGCCCAGAGCTCCTGGTTGTTCTGCTGGGGTTCCTTGGTCAGTGTACAAAAGCCACACCGCCTCATATTTGGCCTCCCCCCTTGCAGGTGACCTGCTCAAATGCCCAGCAACGTGTCTACCAGAAGCACGACACTGAATTGAGCCTCTCCTGCGTCTGGGATGGACAGGTTGACCTGAAGTATTCCAGGATGCCTGAAGGGACACCAGAGATCGAGAGAGGAGTGCCAGATACCCAACTTCTTCTTCCTCCTCCTCCTCCTCCTCCTCCTCCTCCTCCTCCTCACTGTCAGTGGTACCAAGACACCATCTTGGTCATGCAAACCAATGACTGGTCAGGCCAGCTTGCGTTGAGCAAAGGCCTGGATGGAGAAAGGCCCTATCCACCCTGGGCCCTGACTCGGATTGTAATGCAGTGTGTGTCAGCCCTGTGCGGTCAACCTCCCTGCGCTCACCACAACTTTAGCGTTGACATTTCCAGGCAAGATGTCCACCTTTTCCTCCTGTCACCACAGAGCCTTCCTATTTGGGAATGGCAGCCTGTGACAGTAGGCTGGTGCGCCCGCTTCAAGAGTTCCCCCTGGAGGTACCGCTTGATGAGTGAAGGGGGAAGCCCTGCAGGCCGCCTCATTCCCAGTAACCAATATAGCGAACCCTTTGCCTCCACGCAAGGCCTCCCGCAATCGTTGCCCCGTGTCTGTGAAGCCTATTATCACTACCACATCACCGTGCGTTATCCCCAGCGTGGATCCTATACCGTTTTGCTGCACCTAGAGAACGGGCCTCCCCTCAGCCTCAGCCTAAACATCGATGTGCAGCCTGCTCTTCTCCACGTCTTCAGTGCTTCTTCTGCCCTGCTTAGTCAAACCCAGAAGCCTCTCGCCCTCTCCTGGAGTCTCCAGCCTCTGAGCTCCAGCATAACGGCCTACACACTGGAGGACTTGCACGGACGGGAGGAATGGTCTTTCTCCTACAAATACAATCCTTTCGGTCTGCAAAGCCATTTCTGCGCTCCGCCCATCTCGCAAGCTTCGGGAAATAAGGTGATCTCCAGAATCTACTTCCGTACCAGTAAAACATTCTCTGAGAAGCTGAGCGGAGGCTTCAATTTCTCTAACAACACCTTGATTTTCCAAGGAAGCAGTGCTGCTGGACCAATTTCCATCAGGCTGAACCCACAGAAAATCAAAATAGGGACGTACTTTTTTAGCCAGGAATCTGGGCTCTTGTATTCCACCCTAGAAGGCAGTGGGCCCTCCAGTCTCCACCACCTCTTTTTCCAACAGGTGGCCCTTTCTACCCTGATTTCTATTGAATTTGTGAAGACACAATGGTTCAGGTTTAGCATTCACTTATATCTGAACCGAAAGGAAGGTCTGTTCAAATCCTTGGCTGAGAAGGAGATGGAAGTCCACGTTTTCAGTGGACAGTCTCCCGATAAAAACTTGGTCTACGTTGTGTGGTTTATTCCCATGCCACATCCCTACTTGCAGTGCGACTGGGCTTTCCATCTGCAACTTTTTCATTCCAGGCAGGAGCACATCCTTTGGAATAAGACATACACGTATAAGGACCGTGTTAAAAACGCTGTTCGTTTTCTTCCGCATTCTGTCTTCTCCTTCAGACCCACACAGTATGTGGGCTTTGTAGCAGAAGTGAATTGCAGGCAAAATGGACTCGTACGAGCGGTTTTAACAGCCGCCCTGGGGACTTACGCTTCCAAGGTGATGGAGCCAGTTGTGCCCTGCCAGAAAAGTTATTGCCGTAAACTGACCATTGTCATCCATAAACCCAACCCTTCGGAACCTGTGTGGCGTTATAAGAGAGAGAAAGACATCACATTGCAAGCAACAGCCGAAGTGAAATGCAGGACTCGTCCAGATCTTGATTTTCTTTGGAAAATATACACGCTCAGCACCGCATGGTCAATTCCAGATTGGCCAAACTCTCTCACGCTCCCCAAAGGGATGAACACAAGGGGTATCGTGTTGCACATACCTGAAAATGCCCTGCCGTATGGCTTCTATCATGTGAATTTGACCATGAGTGTGCATCTATCTGCAGAAAACATAACATTCGTTCGGTCTGATTCGGTCTACCTCCAAATTCTAGGAAGTGGGTTAAGGGCAGTTATGGTTGGAGGCCTCTTCCGCACGGTTGGCATTTCTGATTGGTGGTCTTTGGACGGGTCCTTATCTTCGGATCCGGATTCTATGGAGCCTCGGGAAGGAATTCTGTTTCACTGGTTCTGCAGCAAACGAGAATCAGACTATTCTGTGATGAAGCTGGGTTTAGGTCAGAAATGCCACCCGCGGCAACGTGATCTGTACTGGACCCACTCGAAAGAACCGGTGCAAGTTGTGGAACCGAAGACTCTTCAGGAAAATACGACGTATTACTTTAAGCTGGTCGTTGTCAAGCGAAACCAATCTGCCCCCACGTTTCAAGCCATTCATGTCCTTCCTGGTCCTGAGCCTGTTCTGCGTATCCTCTGTTTGGAAAACTGTGAGAAAGGCATCAAAGCCACTGAAAGATTTACTCTGTATGGAAAGTGTCTGAACTGTGAAAAAGCCCACTTGGTTTATTTCTGGAGCCTCCTTTCAGCAGATGCCAAGGAAGTATATTTCGACTGGGCTTCCAAAACGACCACTGGGAGAACCACTCCATATTTGCATATAAATTCTTTGGCCTTTAGCTCCATGAATGGCCAGTTGTATATCCTTAAACTGAAAGTGAGTAAGCAGGGAGTCCAGTTGGCTGTGTGTAGCTACTCTTTTTATGTCCACATGCCCCCTCGGATTGGAAAATGTTTCATTGAACCAAGGGAAGGCATTGCGCTGATGACCAAATTTACCCTCCGGTGCTCTGGATTTGATGACAAGAAGGGGCCTCTTCTCTACAGAGTCATTGCCCGTTCTGATCTAGCCCAAATAGCTAACGTATCATCTCTGCAAAATAACACACTTGGGACCATCGTTTATCTTGGTCATCAGCGGAACCCCCCGCCCTCAGTTCTTCCCAGCGGTGTACCCTCTGAAAAATATGCTCTGAACATACTTGTTCAAGTTTACGACACCGATGATGCTTTTTCTCAAATCAGTTTGCAGGCAACGGTATACGACTCAAAGACCAGCAAGCCAACAGATCTGGTTCTCAATGAACTGTATCACCTAGTCGGACAGCTCAATACCTCTGCCTCTGCCTTCCTTGACACTGAAGATTACTTTCACGCAGGCTTCGTTATCTATATGGTGGCTTCCGAATTAAATAACCTTGAGCCGTTGCCCAGTTTTTACCATTCTAAAATTGAACTACGAGAAATGTTACTTAACAAAACCGCGTGGATTCCCATCACCGAGACAGGGATACTAAACCAAGTCATCTCTAGCATTTGTCAAATAACGCAGAATGCAAACGAAGTTAGTAGGAAGTCCCAGCTGACCGCAGTCCGAATCCTCCGAAGGGCCAGCGAAGCTCTGAAAAGGCACAGAGACGTTGATCTCGGTTCTCAAGAAGCTGAGGTCCTTGCTGGGGGCATTTTTACCGGGCTGACTAATGTGTTAAGAGCTTCCCTCTTGAACTCCAAGAATGGGGCTGCGAACACCATCAAGGAAATCATTTCAATGTCAGAGTTTTTGGCAGATATAGTTTTACAAGGCAAAGTCCCTGGGGAAGACCACGTTAACATGGAAGCCAAAGGCTGGTCCATCCGTTTATGGAAAGTGGAAAAGCGGGAAGTTTCCAGGGCTCTCTATGAAAGAAGTTCTCATAAGAATTGCTTTTATCCCAAAGTGAGATTGGAAAGCCAGGCAGAGTTGCCAGCAGATGCGCTGATTTCCGTGGTTCATTATGTATTTGAAGAGAATCCTTTCCCTTGGCTGAGGAAGGCGGGAGATAATCAGACGGTCGTGATGGGGTTCAAAGTGGCTGGGGCCAAAGCAAACGGTGACGTCATTGGGGTCACCCCTAAAGTGGCCGAAGTGATCATGGATAGAATAGTTAAGGATCCCGTCGCATTTAATCTGACGATAGGGCTGGATAAAAAGCGTGTGGCCACAGTTGGTGGATTTAGCATAGAAGTCAATAGAAATTCACCAGACATATATGTCCAGATTTTGTGCCACAGGAACATCACTTTCAATGTCTCCATCTACTTGGGACTCAATTTTAGCTCCCCCCCAGTTGTGTCTTACATTGCTTTCTCTGACAAGCCGTCTACTCTGCAGAAAAGTGGGGCCAATGTCAAATGTGCAGTTAAGGCTCCATATACCCTCTGCCTTCCACAGGAATTGCTTTGGTCTGAACCAGCAACTAAACGGAATATTTCAGTGGTCCTAAGATCTCCCCCGCTGTTCAGAAGGCAGACCACCAAGATCGTTCGCATCGTGGTTTTTACCGCAAGCTGCCGAGACCTAGGTCACCTTCCAAACTTTGAACCGTCGTCCGAAGGAACCTGCCGCCTCGGCCCTCAGACCACGTTGTCCAAACTTCACTGTGTCTGTGGACCGAACCCCAGAATGGCTCAGCAGCAATGGGCAAAGCCTTCAAAACCTGAAGTCAGATTTGTTGATGACACGTTTGTGATTTACCCCAATCCTTTGGACCTCAAAAAAATACTCTCAGCAAATTTTGACACAAACCCAGTGACGGTTTTGACCGTGTTTTTCATTTTTGCTGGCTATATCTTCTGTTCGTCCTGGGCCATCATTAGAGATAAAGATGACTTGAGAAGAAAGAACAAAATCTTTGTCTTGCCGGATAATGACCCTTATCACAGAATGCACTATCTGGTTACCATCTATACCGGAAGTCGCTTGGGATCCGGAACCACGGCCGATGTTTTTCTTGAATTGATTGGGAGAGATGGTTACAGTGACGTCCATCGTATGAAGCACCCCAAATTCCCAACCCAGTATCGTGGCGCTGTTGATACTTTTCTTTTCGCTACAAGATACGACTTAGGGGATATTTATTGCATTCACATATGGCACAATAACGGTGGTTCTTCCCCCAACTGGTACTTAAGCAGAGTCAAAGTATTTAATGTGGATACCCAACGATCGTGGCTGTTTATATGTAGGAAGTGGCTAGGCCTTGGCAAGGCGGATGGCAAAATAGAAAGATACATTTTTTCTTCAAATCTAAAAACAAGGTTGGAGAAAATGGATTTCTTTCAGATACACCTAGCTAGGGACTTAGAAGATAATCATCTCTGGCTTTCCATATTTTCTCAAGTGGTCACCGGTACTTTCAACAGGCTACAGAGAGTCTCCTGTTGTCTGGCTATAATGCTTTCAACTTTGCTCCTGAACATCATGTTCTTCAGTGGTCAGGAAGAAGCAAAAATTATTCCATTAAAATTCCGGATTGTGAGATCCATGTACATTGGAGCATTCAGTGCTCTGTGTTGCGTTCCTCTACAGCTGACTATGACCATCCTATTTAGATACTCAGCGGAAAAGCCTTCCGATGACAAGGACGATATGGTGCCTGACTATAGTCCCTCATCTTCGGAAACAAGTGAGGAAGAGGAAGAAAGCTCCTCGTCGACCACTACTGATGAAGAAGACGAGGGCAAAGCAGGTGAGACAACCACTGCCTCAGAAAAGGAGGGCACTAAAATTAGCACAAGAAAAAGGATAATTCTGCTGATCAAGGTGTTTACTCGGAAGCCACAGTTCGCCTGGTGGTGGAGATACGTCGCGTGGGCCATTGTTTTTTTCATGTCTATTGTCTCTTCTGTGTTCATCATCTTATATGGCTTCAGCTACGGCTATAGCACCTCCACAGAATGGTTCATAGCATCCATAACGTCATTTTTTGAGAGCGTATTCCTGCTACAAACCCTAAAGATGGCCCTCATCTCAGGAGTCAGCACCATTAATCTCAAGTACTGCAAGCACATCGCCTGGATATCGGCAGAGCAATACCAGAAGATGAAGCTGCTCCGGGTGAATATAGATGCTAAGGATGTCAGAAAGTTTCACCACGAACTTGTCAGGATTAGGCAGAGCAAAGAATACGAGCCCTTGGAAGAGGATGAAGTCGTCATCTTAAGGAAAAAAGTACGGGCTCAACACCTGGCATTTGTTTTCATAAAGGACATCATTTGCCATCTTATCTTTGCCTCCTGCGTTCTAAGCATAGCTTACTCCACTATACCCACCGTTTCCTTTTACCACAACAAAGTGATCCACGCTAAATTTAATCGTGGTCTGTCCAAAGTAACAAAACTTGAGGACATTTACACTTGGATGAATGAAACTTTTGTACCATTGATACATAACGACTATCAACCCACCTACCTTTCAGATTCATGGTCGAAAATTCTTGGTTTGCCCAGAATGAGACAGGTCCGAGGCCTACATCTTTCAAAGCCTTGTTTTCCTCCAGGCCACTTTGCAAACAATTACATGATCGGCCAAAGATCCTGTCACTATGAGTTCGCTGAGGATCCAGAAGATCAAAAGCACTACCTAGGGTCATGGACCAAGCCGGTCGACAAAACCGTCTCCAGTAACATTGCCAATTTTCAAGGATTCACGTATCAGTCCGATATTGATCAATGGGAATATAAGTCTTATGGTGTGGTAAATTCCTATGGCCCGGGCGGATACTCGTTTTATTTTTTCCCAGGAGAACAACGGCCAAACACGACAACAAGGTTGGAAGGTTTGCAAAGCAATAATTGGCTTGATAAACGGACCCGGGCTCTGATTTTTGAGCTGACAACATTTAGTGTGGATGTAGAGCTCTACTGCAGCATCACAGTCATTTTTGAGTTTACCAACTTTGGCATCGTTAGTTCAACTTTGTCAATCCATTCATATAAGCTCTCTAAATTCCAGTATGAAAGCACTTCCCGGTTGGTGACTTACGGAGTCATGATTTACATTCTGGTCTTCTACTTAGCGGATGAATTTCACATGTTACGCCAAGAAAGGATCGGTTATCTCCAAACGGCGACCAATTTAAATAATTTCGCCATCAAGAACATCTGTATGTTTTTTATATTACTCATCGCCTTGAAATTCAAGATGGCATTCACCTTGCTGGATTTTTATCTGCTCAATCCAGAAGAATTTGTCCCTTTCCACGTTGTTTCTCAAATTGATCAGCTCTACACGATAGTGGCAAGTATTTTAGGTTTTCTCCTGGTGTTGAAACCCTACCGATATTTCAGGTTCTTGTACAAGGTGCGCCTTGCGGAGCAAACCATGTCAGCCGCCTTCCCTGTGTTTCTTCATTTGACAGCCCTCGCCGTTCTGTTGTTTTGCACATTCATGATCTTTGGCTACCTCATATTTGGTCAGTATGAGTGGTCCTTCAGTTCCTGGGATCACTCTCTGCAGGCTGTTGTTGCCTGTTGCTTTTCAGGATTTAAGCAGATGGATGTTGCATCGAGGTGGTGGCTCACCATATTTTTCCAAGCGTCATTCCTATTTACAGTGATATTCATCTTCGTCAATTTATGGAAGGTCCTGTTAATGTCAACTTACACATCGATGAAACAGACCGTTTACGAGCAACATTCGGATGAAGCCGAAGCCATAAACTTTTTGTATTTGAAGTTGCGAGGCCTATGGTGTAATCTAACCCGCCAGCCAGATACTGGTGACGACTACGCCAATGTTACAATATTTGGTAAATCAGTACTTACGGATAGACAGCAGCGGGGGCTGAAATGCAGTAAAGTAGAAGGCAAGAAAATGGTTTTCCTTACCGTTTGAGAAAGGCTTCCGTAAAAATCAGGTACAGTTTTATTGCTTCTGTCCCAAACGGAGTTCCACAGAGTTTTCAGTCTCCTCTTGCAACTATCTTCATATTCGATTAAATTTTGACTCTGCCCAAATTCTTATTTTTCCTGTAACAACAAGCAGCCCATTACTTCGTATCGCATTGCCATTTTAAAAAGAATCTGTTTTGTTCTACATTCCAGTTATTATTCTAATAAATAATCTATTTAAACCATGTGCTTTTTCAAGTGAGTTTTTTTTTGGAAGGGATTAGTAGGACGAGACAATTCTGCCATTGCAGCAGATTCTATTTGCAGTGTATTTGCAATCAGGTTGAACAAGCAAAATTAAGTAACAAACAGAAGCAAGTCAGCGAAATACAACTGATAATGTGCTACCACTTTTCCAGTTTTTAGCCTGGTATTTCTAAAATCATTACCAGGCATTTTGTGTGATTGTAAAAGTTCTGATATAGTTGTAATAAAGATGTGAGCTCTGGAAGTTGTGCAATCAAAATGTAGGATCCAAAGAAAGTAATCAAGGCTCACGGCAGCATTTATTCATTAAACACTATGTAATATAGAACCTTCTTCCAGAGAATGGGCTTAAGATACAGAAGGACCATGACAGACTAGCAGACTAGCTATCTAGCAAAATGAAATTCAATGGCGAAAAAAGTTAGGTTCTATATTTAGGCAAGAAAAACGAAATGCACAGGTACAGTATAGGTGGCACCTTGCTCAACAGTAGTAACTGTGAGAAGGATCTTGGAGTCCTAGTGGACAACCACTTAAATATGAGCCAGCCGTGTGCAGCAGCTGCCAAAAAAGCCAACACAGTTCTAGGCTGCATAAACAGAGGGATAGAATCAAGATCACGTGAAGTGTTAATACCACTTTGTAAGGCCTTGGTAAGGCCACACTTGGAATGCTGCATCTAGTTTTGGTCTCCACAATGTAAAAAAGATGTTGAGACTAAAGAAGAACCAGGGGTGACATGATATTCAATATCTCAGAGGTTGCCACAGAGAAGAGGGAGTCAAACTATTCTCCAAAGCACCTGAGGGTAGGACAAGAAGCAATGGGTGGAAACTAATCAAGGAGAGAAGCAACTTAGAACTAAGGAGAAATTTCCTGACAGTTAGAACAATTAATCAGTGGAACAACTTTCCTCCAGAAGTTGTAAATGCTCCAACACTGGAAGTTTTTAAGAAGAGGAGATTAGATAACCATTTGTCTGAAGTAGTGCAGGGTTTCCTGCCTAAGCAGCGGGTTGGACTAGAAGACCTCCAAGGTCCCTTCCAACTCTGTTATTCTATTCTGTTCTGTTGTGTTCTAGTCTTCTATTAATGGGGGGAATTCTTATAGAGAAAAGGGTGCATCATATGTATATATTTTGGAAAGGAGGAGAAGAAGATACAGTCATACATCTGGATAGGTACAGATGATGTAAGCATAGGTATTCATAATTAGCAAACCTCAAGTTACTTCTATTGTTATGGTACTATCCTAAAAATATATAGTTTTAATAAAAAGAAATATATTTACATTGCCACAGAAATTTTGATGCAACTTTCTGAGAACCAGGCATTTCAAGGTTGCCTTTTTTTAATGTGCCAATTCCTATACATTCTTTCTATCTTTCCATTTTGCTGACATGCTCCTTCTCTTTGGATAATTTCTTTTGCTCTCCAAATTTACACCCACAATCTTCAAAAATACCCATCAAATGCTAACCGGTAGATATGAGGATATTATAGCATAACGACATACCATAATATTTCCTATCTTTGGACTTTGTAATTGTGGAAGTCCAAATCAAATTGGTTAAATTAAGGCAGATGGTTGAAATATTGAAATACCTACAGTAGTGATGCTGTTTGATTAGTCGAATGTATACATCACTATTTTTCTTTTATAATTATTACTCTCAAATTTTTCCCAAGTCGCTTGGTCTGCTTTGTTTTAAGTTAGCCAGAATCTTGGTGGCCATATTGAAAATGTAAACCGAAGAAAGATTCTAGAATCCACTGGCTCATTTCCTCCCGTTGAGATCTCTAAGGTTACTAAGCGACAGCTGGTAAGATGTCTGGAGCTACTGACACCATTTTCTTCCTTGGGGGAGCCGGGCCATTCCTTTGGCCTCTGCTCTTCCTCTTCTGCTGGTTTGGTGGCTGCCCCAGCACCCTGGCAGCACAGCTTCATCTCATGCCACCACCACTGTCGGTCACTTGTGCCCAGCCTGAGAACCGTGTCTATCAACAACAAGACCTCCCTTTCCAGGTCTCCTGTCTTTGGGACAGCCATGTGGTGTTGCACTACTCAAAAGCCCCCCAACAAAACTCCAAGGAGGGAGGGGCCGAATCTCCAGTGCCTCCTCTCTGCCACTGGTATCGGGATGCCATCCTGGTCAACCAGACGACTTCCTGGACAGGTGAGTTGATGCTCAGTCCAGGCCTGCCATGGAAAAGTCCCCATCCACCTTGGGCTGGTTCTCGGATCTCCATGCAGTGCATCTCAGTTTCATGCTTGGCTCCCTTGTGCTTGTATCACAATTTGAGCATTGAGGTTGTGGACCAAGATATCCATCTCTTCCTGCTGCAGCCTCACACCCTTCCCATTTTGGAGAGGCAGCCGGTGTGGGTGGGCTGGTGTGCCCGCCTCAAGAGTTCGGCCTGGCACTACTACTTCGAGAGCCAAGGGGGTCTTCCTGAGGCCCGCCTCATTCCCACCAACCAGCACAACGAGCCCCTCCTACGTAGTGACTATCCCACTGCCAAGTTGCACCAGGTCTGCATGCCTTACTATAGTTACCATTTGACTGTGCAGTACCCACGCCGTGGATCCTACATTGCTTCGGTCAGCTATAAGCCGGGTCCCCGGAGCAGCCTCAGCCTGGATTTCTTGGTGGAGCCTGCTCTGCTCTTTGTTTTCAGGGTAACCTCCCAATTGCAGAGACCGTCACAAGGGGCCCTGAGCTTTTCCTGGAACCTGCAGCAGCTCAGCCCAGAAATAGTAGCCTACCAACTCCTGGATACACAAAGATCCCTAGAGTGGTCCCACTCCTATGATTACAATCCGTTTGGCATGCACAGCCATTTCTGCGCTGTGCCCACATCACACCAGACCAAGGAAACAGTCGTGGCCAATGTATACTTCCGGACCAGCCAGAGGGTATCGACGAGAGCAAGGGGAAGCCTTGATTTCTTAAACAGGACCCTGATTTTCAGAACAAGCAGGACAAGCTCAATTTCCATAAGACTCAACCCACAGGAAAACACAATCAGCACTTATATTTTTAGCCAAGCCCAAGGACTCTACTATTCTACCCAAAAAGGGAACTTGAGCATGGGCCTTGCTAAGAACTCCAGCCTCTGCTATGTACTTTATCAGCAAGCGGGCCTCTCCTACCTGATTACAGTTAAATTCGTGCAGCTACAGTTATTTAGATTCAGCCTGGATATTTATCTGAATCGGAAAGAGGCGCTGTTCCAGTCTCTAGGGGAAAAGGAGACGGACGTTTATGTCTTCAACAGCACTTCTCCTGACAACAGCTTGGCCTATGTTGTGTGGTTCATCCCCGCACAGCATCCCCTTCTGCAGTGTGAATGGGCCTTCAATCTGCAAGTTTTCAATTCCGTGGGCGGGCACCTGGTGGAAAACTCCACTTTTGCCTACATTGATCGGACCCCAAATGCAGCTCATTTCCTTCCCGATTCTGCCTCAGCTTTCCATCCTGATTCGTATGCGGGATTTGTTGCCAGAGTGAAATGCCTAAAGAGGGCGAACATTCCCATCGTGTTCACTGCGAGGTTTAATATTTACGCGCTGAAAGTCATAGAATCGCAAATTGCATGCCAGCAAAAAACTTGCACCATTCCCAAAGTTAGGATCCACCGGGGGGTTAATACCAAACACATCCTGCATTACGCACAGGAGACTGGATTTACACTTGCAGCAGACATGCGGGTCAATTGCCCAGGCCCCAAATCAACTAAAGTTAGTTGGAACATCTATAAAGTCTCTAATCTGTCAGATAAACCAGACTGGTCCAAACCTTTTAATCCAACTGGTATTGAAGGAAGACATTTCATCCGGCTAAAAATCCCTTGCTCCAGCTTGGATACTGGCCTGTATCTTTTTAATTTTACTGTGCAATTAATTTCACCCACTTTCCCCCAGATGATAGAGCGCTCGGATGCAGTGTTGATAGAGGTTGGGTCAGATCTCTGGGGTGCTGTCATCATGGGAGGCCACTTTAGGTCCGTTGGCTTTTCTGATCGGTGGATTCTAAAAGGATCTGTCCTGTCCAATGGTGAGATGGTCAGTCTGTCTCAGGGACTGTCCTATACTTGGTATTGCACCAAACAGGAAAGAGACTATACATCGATGGCCCTCAGCACAGTTGGGAAATGTTATCCAGATCAGGTGGATTTGAAGTGGACCACATCCTCCAATTCAATTCAGATGGTACTTCCAGAAACACTTCAGGCCAATAACACATACCATTTTCTCCTGTTAGTTCAAAATGGTAGCAGGATAACTCAAGCTCAGCAAACCGTACATGTGCGTGCTCACGGTGCCCTCGTTCTAAACATTGCATGCACTGAAAATTGTGGAACGTCAGTAATTCCAACAGAAAGATTTTCTCTGTCTGGTAAATGTGGGAACTGCAGGGAAATCAAATCCTGGTATTATTGGTCACTGCGCTCGGCCCAGTCCCATGAAATCAAATTTGACTGGTCTTCCAGAACAACTACTGGTAGATCCAGCTCATATCTACATTTCAAAGCCTTTGCTTTGGTCTCCATGGCAGAAGAGTTCTACATTTTGAGCCTAAAAGTCGTCACCAAAAATGGACAGTCTTCTAGCTGTGAATATTTTTTTTATATTAATGCTCCGCCACAGATAGGAAATTGTGTCCTTCATCCAAAAGAAGGAATAGCTTTTCTAACAAAATTCATTATCCAGTGCCATGGATTTGAGGACAGAAATCAGCCTCTCGCCTACAAAGTAATAGCAGCATCAGATCAAATGACAATTAGTTCCATATCCTCAATTCAAAATAATACTTTGGGGATAATCATCTATGTTGGACATGAATCCAAAACTCCATGGTCTTTCCTTCCTCCTGGCAGACCCTCACAGACCTTTGCTTTGCCTATATATGTTCAAGTTTTCGATGCCCTTGGTGCATCTTCTCAAGTCACTTTGCAAGCAACAGTGCTCGATCAAAGACAACCACCAACCAATGCTGTCCTCCATCAACAACTATATGATTTGATGAATGGATCAAGTGCCCTTATGACCAAGTTGCTCATCACCAAGGATTACCTGAGTATAGGCTATATTGTATACATGATGGCCGCGGTCTTAAACAATATTGAAGCTTCACCCTCCAATCGTGTTCCTAAAGCAGATTTGCGTCAACACCTCCTCAATATAAGCACAGGGATTCCTAGCACTAGTATCGGGGAAATCAATCAGGCGATCCTAAGTATTTGTCAAGCAACGCATGAAATTGCTGAAGTCGATAAAATATCCCAGCTGCTTGCAGTAAGAAAATTAAAAACAGTCAGTCAAGCTCTGAGGAGACACAGGAATCAAGGCTTGGGCTCAAAGGAAACGGAGATTCTTAGCAACGGGATTTTCACAGGATTGTCCAATATCTTGGATGCTTCTCTCTTGAATCACAGAAATCCTAACGCGGATGCCATTAAAGAAGCGATTTCTGTGACCGAAATATTAACAGATCTCATTTTACAAGGCAAAGTCCCTGGTGGGAATGAAACTAAAATGGTCGCCCGAAACTGGTCCATCCATCTTTGGAAAAGCAAAACATGGGACATTTCTGGAAGTTTCTCAAAGAGGAAGCAATGTAGGAGCTGCTTTTATCCAACACTAAAGCAGGGGTCTCATGTGGAGTTAGAAGAAGATAATGTCGTTTCCACCGTTCTGTACGAATTTGAACAGAATCCTTTCCCTTGGCTGGCTTTTGCCGACAATATTGGCACAATAGTGACAGGGTTCAAAATGGCGGCAGCCGATTCTAAAGGAGACCTAACTACCATCGTTCCTGATATGTTTGAAATGATCTTGACTAGGACAGACAAGGCCATCTTTGAGCTGACTATAGGGCCAGATAAAAAACTTCCTAAAACGACGGGTGGCTTCGGCTTGGAAATTAAAAGAAACTCCAGTGATATTTTTATCCAATTGGTGCCCCAAGTGAACATTACTTTCCAGGTATTTATCTACTTAGGCCTCAATCTGAGCCATCCTCCCTTACTTTTATATAACGCTTCTCATTTAAGTCCTCCAACAGTCCTCCAAGAGGATACAATTATCACTGGATGTGCTCTCAACATTCCTTACATCTTTTGCCTTCCAAAGTCATTGCTTTGGTCTCCAGCTTATAACAGGGTAGCAGACACGCTCAACCTTTCCATTGTCTTGCAGTCACAACCAATTGTGAGACACCAAACCGCAAAATCTCTCCGCGTTGCTATCTTTGCAGCAGGCTGTTTGTCTCTTGAAGGCGTTCAGGATCAGTGGAAAGAAGAACCCTGCAGCCTTGGACCTCAAACCAGCTGGTCGAAAATCCACTGTGTCTGCCAAGGGAAAAAAAACAGCACGAAGTCAACTAGATCCGATTCAAGAGGGGCTTCAAGACCCAGAGTCCGATTTTTGGCTGGCAAGTTACTTCTATTTCCCAATCAAGTTGACATGAAAATGTTGCTTTTACAACCGATGGGAAGAAATCCTGTCCCAGGGTTTATGGTGCTTGCTGTTTTCCTACTCTACATTTTCTTGGCTGTCTGGGTGAGAAGAAAAGACAAAATTGATATTGAAGAGCAGATTATATATTTGCCAGATAACGACCCGTTTCACACCACGAGATACCTGGTGACCATCTATACCGGGAGCCGCCCAAGTGCAGGGACCAAAGCGGATGTGTTCATAGAGCTGATTGGCCAGAATGGAAAAAGTAATGTGCATCTCTTAAAGCACCCATCATTTCCAGAGATCCTTCAGAACAGCTGCATTGATACTTTCATGCTAACTACTGGGGAAGATTTGGGAGATCTCGTCTCTATCCACATCTGGCACAATTATTGTGGCTTTGGTCCAAACTGGTACTTGAGCCGAATCAAAATCCTCAGCGTAGACACAAACAGGTCGTGGCTGTTTCTGTGTAGAAAATGGTTGGCCCTCGGCAGGGATAACTACCAAATAGAATGGACTTTCGAGGTCACGGATCCACAAGTCCCCATCAGCAGAACTGATTATCTGTTGATAATGTTTAGCTATCACTGGTTCCAAGACCACCTTTGGTTCTCTATCTTTGTTCGCAGCCTTGACAGCTCCTGGAACAGATTTCAGAGGCTCTCCTGCTGCTTAGCGATACTTTTGACCTCCCTGCTGGTCAACACGATAATCTTCAACACTAAGAAAGAAGAACAGGTTTATCTCCTAGAACTGCAGTATTTGAGGTCCATAATAGCCGGTGTTCTTGGTGCTCTCATCTCCCTTCCTGTGGGATGGATTGCAATAAGCTTGTTTAAGTACTCCGTGAAGGGGTCTTCCAAGTGTAACCTCGCTCAGGGTCAGGAAAAGGAAAGCTTCCCTTGGTTGCTCGAAAGCCTTTTTAAAGCAGATACTCAACTTTCAGAGATAAAATCACAGCAGTTTTCAGCCACAGATACCAATGTTAGTAATAATTATGCAGCAGAAAAGAAAGCAACTTTGGGTAAAACTCAGAAATTGCAATGGGGTAGATGTTTGTCTTGCAGCGCATGGTTCTTTGTCTTCCTTATATCTGGGCTAGCCTCATTTTTCATCACATTCATTGGCCAGTCTTTTGACCACAAAACATCCTCCGAATGGCTAATAGCTGCTCTGATATCGTTCTGTCTCCATGTGAGCTTCTTTGAGACCTTGCAAATTGTTGTTTACTCCAGCTGGAATATCTGTTTGGCAAAATACTGCGCAAACATCCCATGGCAAGGCTATCATGCTATGACGTACACACCAAGAACGTTGGACGCTGACGAGATGGAGAAGTTGCACAATGACCTGGTGGAACTGAGAGCTTCCAAGAAATACCAACCCATCAAAGAGGAAGATGTTATAGCCATGCAAAAGAAGAAGCTGATTCAATATCTAGCTTACAAATATGTGAAGGACATGATCTGCCATTTTATCTTCTTGGGTTTAATTTTCGCCATCTCACACCCAATAGATGTTACGGCTGCCTTCTTTTACAATCGCGCCATGTCTAGAGAATTTTCTCCTGATTTACCCAATTTGAATGGAGCCCAGGATGTTTACAGATGGGTAAACAAAAGCTTTCTGCCACTGATACACAATCCTTATCTCCCAAGCTATCTTCCGGTCTCCGGGTCCAAAATCCTGGGATTGCCCAGAATGAGGCAAATAAGAAAGAAATCTGCAGACAGATGTCTACTCCCCTACGAATTAAAAAACATGTTTTTGCTGGCTAATATTCAGTGCAAGAACAAATATGGATTCAGCCAGGAAGATCAAAGTAACTATGTGGGCTCGTGGTCAACTCCAACGGACACCTCTGTTCCCAAGAACCATGCTGAGTTTTTAGGCTTCAGTTATGAGCCAAGCAGTGCCCAATGGGAGTATATGTCCTATGGACGATTAAATGACTATCCTTCCAGGGGATATACGTTTTATTTTTTCCCCGAAGAACCACAAGTGAATTCAACGCAAAGGTTGGACGCTTTGGAAACGAACAGCTGGATTGACAACAAGACGTGGGCAGTGATTTTCGAACTCACAACTTTTAACGTTGATGCCAATATGTTCTGCAGCATTTCCGTCATTTTTGAACTTTCTTTCCTCGGCCCTGTGAATGCCAGCATCGTTGTACATTCTTACAAACTCCCGTTTTTCACCCATCAAAACATGAGTGAGATTTTCTTCTTTTGCCTGACGATATACATACTTATTATTTATATTGCTGACGAATGCCACATGATGTACCAAGAACAGCTGAGCTATTTTACCCTGGCTACCAACCTGATCAACTTTGGGATAAAGACCAACTGTATTCTTTTTCTGGTGGTGCTTTTGTGCAAATTCAAGCTTTCTTCCGATTTGGTGCAATTTTACTTACTGCATTCCCAAGAGTTTGTTCCATTCCATTCGGCTTCCCAATTCGACCAGACTGTCAGAGGTGTGCTGGGGATTCTGGTTTTTTTCCTGGTTCTGAAAACGTATCGCTATGTCAGATTTCTGTTCGATTTACGCTTAGCCCAAAAAACCCTCAGAACGGCCCTCGCTGGTATCATCAATATAACCGTAATGGGTATCATATTTTTCAATGCATACATGGCACTCGGATACGTGGGATTTGGCCAACATGAATGGCATTTCCGCAGCCTAATGTATTCCTTCACGACCGTGTTGTCTTATTGTGCCTTAACATTTAAGGACACTGAATTTTTGTCTGACAAATTTCTAGGGGGTCTTTTTTTAGCATCCTTTCTGTTGGTGATGATCTGCGTTTTTGTCAATTTAAGTCAAATCCTCATCATGTCAGCTCACTCAGACATGAAGGAAGTTGTTTTCAATGAGCCTTCCAATGAAGCTGATGTAATGTATTTTATACTCCAGAAGGTGTACAGGATGTGGTATTTTGCCAGTACTGGTACCTACACAAAATCAGAGACTGATATTTTTAATAATATACTGTATGGGAAAGTTAAGAAACGTAGAAAACAGCCCTTGAGAAAACACTTGGGAAAGAAAGAAAGGCTTTATGTTGTTGTTTGAGGCAAACAGTCAGAACTTTGTGTTAATTAATTTCCTTGGGCTATTCCTTTGGATCAGGCTGAATTCCCAAACCGTCTTCTGCTCTCATCCCAGATAGTTTTCTGCTGCTTTGATTTCCGTTATGTGTTATTCTGGAAGCCCTACAGCAGTTGAGTTCCTAGCTTTGGGCTTGTGACCAATCTCATTTTCATCAGTAACAAGGTTGAATGACAGACGATAGGAGTGAAGTCCTTTCTGGAGAGACATTCAGCTTGCTCAAAATCTGTCCAGAACGAGGACTTCAGACAGTAACTATGGTCTGACCAACTCATCCAATCATATTGTGCTAACTAAGCAGAAGAAACCGCAAGATGGTTTACAACGAAGAAATGAGAAAAAACCCAAGTACATTTTTGGTCTCTAGATCCTTCACTAGGATCCATGCTGTACCCATTTTGGAAGGTCAACACACAGGTTAAAAGTTCTCCACATCAAGATCAGCTGCTACAGAGAACCAAGACACCACCACACGATGCCTTATAGAATGTGGAAACATTGGATACCCAGAATGTAGAAATGTTTGCAGTGGGATCTGCAGGGGAGATGGAGATATAGAGATATCAAGAAATTCAAAATGGTGGCCGTGACTACCTGATTGACACCTGGCCCCTTTTAATGTACTTCCTACCTGTGGAAGTATATAAAAGACAGGTGAAGCTTCAACTCTCACTTATGCTTTTGATGCCCTCTCTTACTAATACCCCCAGATATATGGGGTACTTCCTTACTGAAATCTTAAACTCTTTCCTTCTCACTATCTTGCCTGGTTCCTATCTTTCCATTCTTTATCCACAGTTTCTTACCTTAGGAGATTTCTCTAGTGCCACTTTTTTTGCCCTTGTTATATGATATATGAAAAGTAGTGAAGTGAACGTTCTTTTTTAATAAGTCACTTATATGCATCTCTTCCCTGTTTATTTCAATAAATACGGTAGCTTTGTTCAGTTAGTCTTTGATTGATATTAAAATTGCTGGTTCTTCTTGTTATACCTTTTTGGAATGCTTCTGATTTGATTTCTACCTCCCAGTTCAATTTGGAATAGCAATAGCACTTAGACTTATATATTGTTTCACGGTGCTCGCCAGCCTTTTCTGAGTGACTTACAGAGTCAGCCTATTGCCCCCCCCCCCCCGCCAACCATCTGGATCCTGATTTTACTAACCTCAGAAGGATGGACGGCTGAGTCAACCTTGAACCAGTCAGAATCGCTAGTAGCTAGTAGTAGTAATGAACTGTTTGTAGCCGGCAGTCAGGAAAAGTAGCGTGCAGTACTCCATTCTAACCACTGGACCATCACGGCTCATGATAGATAGATAGTAATAGCACTTAGCACTTAAACTTACAGTATATACCACTTCACAGTGCTTTATACCAGTGGTGAAATTCAATTTTTTTTACTACCAGTTCTGTGGGTGTGACTTGGTGGGCATGGTGTGGCTTGGTGGGTGTGGCTTGGTGGTTGCCGGTTCTCTGAACTACTCAGAATTTCCTCTACTGGTTCTCCGAAGTTCTCAAAATTTCCGCTACTGGTTCTCCAGAACCTGCTGGATTTCACACCTGCTTTATACCCCTCTTTAAGCAGTTTATAGAGTCTGCATATTGCCCTCAACAATCTGGGTCCTGATTTTACCGACTTCGGAAGGATGGAAGGCTGAATCAACTTTCAGCCAGTGAGTATCGAATGTACAGTAGGTATTCTTAAAATATCATCATAATCTAACTTACTGGCGTAAAGCGCATGATGATGATGATGTGGATGTGGATGATAATAATAATAATAATAATTTTTTCAACAATAAAACATTATTGTGACTGTTTCTCAGCACATTGGTAAAAACTGCCCCAGTTCCTGAAGAATTTCTGCCACTTAGAGCAGTGTTTCTCCATCTTGGCCACTTTAAGGTATGTGGACTTCAACTCCCAGAATTCTCCAGCCAGCATTTTTAAGTCCACACATCTTAAAGGGGCCATGGTTGAGAAACATTGACATAAGAGCAACATAATCAAAGGGTGGTCAGAATTACAACCCAACAGAACTCCAACAGAGGTTGCCCAGTTGCAGAAAGTTCTAGAACCCTTGAAGTCATTCCATCTACAGCAGTTAAGGCTGTTGACCCAAACCTTTCCAGATGCATTTCTTCTTCATATTTAAGGTTTGTTTCCCATGGGCAGTCATCATACCCCTTTCTTTATGCCTGCCCCCATCACTGATGACATCTAACCACACCTATAGGCCAGGAGAAGACAAACCCCAAACCTCATCCTCATGGGACACTAACTGTGAGGATGGTTCATTCAGAGTTGTAGAGTTTCTTTCAAGAACTTGGAAGCAACTAAGGGATGGGTTTTCTCTACAGCATTGTTGGGTTTGGAGATCCATCTTGAGGCATACCATGCTTCTGTGCTCAGGACATGTGGCGCTGGAACTAGTCTTTGAAGAACATGACATCCGTCCTTCTCCAACCTCCGCTGATATCACAATCCAGGGTGTTTCCTATTCCTGCAGTGTGCTTTGTCGTCTTCGCCAACATCTGAGAATTAAGTTGCAATGCCAAGATGTCTCCTTGTTCCTGCTTTGGCCATCCACCTTCCCCAAACCTGACTGGAAACAAATGCAGCTAAGCTGCTGTTCATGCCTTGATAAAACAAGATGGCGCTATCATTACAGTTATAGATCAGGTGGCCCCCGAGCTCTTTTCCTTCCCATCAGCCATCATCCATATTCTTCACTGTGTAATCACTACCGTGATGGTTGGCTGCCCCACAGGTGTTCCTCCTGTTTCAGGCATTGTCAGATGGTGCACTACACCCACCAAGGACTGTGCCTTCCTTCCTTCCATGTCAAGCAAGGGCCTTTGGTCAGGCCTAGCTTGGACGTGCAGGTGGAACCCGTCATATTACATCTTTACAGCGCCCATTCCAAATTACTCCGCATCCCTCATAGAACTATCCGTCTATTCTGGAATGTCTCCTCGGTCAACTCCCAACGAAAGACCTACAGCCTGGTGGATGCTCACAATAGTCAATTCTGGTCTACCACATACAATCCATATGCTTTACGCAACAATTACTCCATTGCTCCTAGTCCACCATCTTTCAGGAACAACGTTGTGGCTCGTTTCGCTTTGGTTCTTGAAGAGGCAGAATCTGGGGATTTGAGTGGGGCATTAGATTTCTCAGGTGCCATTTTAGGTCTGAAGACCAGGAATCATCCTCTCGCTTATCTTGCTGTCAACATGCGGAAAACCAAGGCAGACGCCTATTTTTTTACCCACAGATGGGGTTTCTTCTATCATATCAAAGGCTCTTCCAGTGGCTTGCACATCCCTTCCCGCACGTACTACCTTTTTTATCAACAGCAAAGTCTCTCTTACTTGATCGCCATTGAATTTGTCCACCGGTGCTGGTACAGGTTCGGCATCCATATGTATCTTAACAGAAAAGGAGTCCATTTGAAGTCTGATTCAGGGAAAGATGTAGAAATCCACATTTTCAACAGCGGCCCTTCATTTGTGCCAAGTTTGGCCTATATTGCTTGGTTCATTCCGCTGCAGAATCCATTACTCCAGCACAAGTGGGCCTTCAACCTACAATGCTTGGGTGTAGAGAAGGAAGATCTTCCCTGGAATGCTACTTACAGTTACAGAGATCGTGTCAAAAACGCGGCCCGTTTTATATCTGATCTTCCGTTCAACCCTGCTTTATACGCAGGCTTCATAGCGCCAGTCAATTGCACACAAATCGGCCAAAGATGTTTCATTTTGGAAACCAAAGTCGGTACTTATACCTCAAAGGTCCTGAAGTCTACAGTGGATTGCCTTCAAAGATTTTGTTTCCTGAAAAGAGTAAAAATCCAGGAATCTCATTATACTAATCCTGTTTTAAATTATAGTAAAAAGATCTCGTTCATTCTCTCAGCTGATTTTGAGGTGAATTGTCCAGAACCAAGGCAAACACATATAACTTGGAGAATCTATAAAGTTCCAGATATGAAGACTGGTCCAGACTGGTCAAAACCTTTGAACCCTCCTGCAGTTGGGAAAAAAGATCTTTTACACTTAAACATTCCTGCTGAGAGCCTAGATGAAGGCTTGTATTTATTCAATTTGACTGTAACATTAATCACAATGGACACTTTAGAGAAAGCTGAGGCCTCCGATTCTGTGTTTGTCAGGATTAGGCTCAACAGACTCTGGGCGGTCATCGCTGGAGGTGATTTGCAGACGGTTAGATTTTCCGACCAGTGGATTCTGAATGGATCTGCCTCTTCTGATCCAGATGCCCCCCAACCTTTTGAAGGCCTCACCTTCACTTGGTACTGCTCCAAACAAAAGGAAGATTACATTTCCATGACTTTGAGCGAGACTGGCAAGTGTCGTCCACATCAGGCAGATTTGAGATGGACAGCTTCTTCCGAGCCACTGCAAACAGTTCTACCTAGAACACTTCAAGAAAATGCCACATACTATTTCCTTCTGGTGGTTCATAAAGGAAGGAGACAGGCCCAGGCTGAACAAAGGATCCAGGTGAAGCCTGATGCTTGGCTAACCCTGAACCTCACCTGTATTGAGAACTGCAGAAGATCCGTGATCCCCACAGAAAGATTTTGCCTATTTGGCAAATGCCTAAACTGCAGAACGTTTGATAGGCCTCGGTTTCACTGGTCACTTTTTTCAGGAAATTCCTCGGAGCTCCAATTTGATTGGGCCACCCGAACGTCAACAGGGAGAACTAATCCATACCTCTGTGTGAAACCCTTGGGTTTGATGCATATGGCAGAATTCTCCTTTAGGCTTGTATTAAAAGTAGGCCTGGAGGAACACGAACCATTGCTGTATAACTATTCATTTGTTATAAATATACCTCCAGCACTTGGAAAGTGCAGCCTTAACCCTCCCACAGGAATAGCATTTCTAACAAAATTCTCTGTTCACTGCAGCGGCTTTAGAGATCAACATTT